CCATGTGAAGTGGCATGGGCAAGGCCAATGCAACCTGCTATAAAAGAATATAACAAAGCACAGGCACAGAGAAGAGTTATTGGGTGGGCCATTAAGATGGCTTGGTGGGTACAAGTACTTGAGGCCAAACCCGATAGTTCAAGTCCAATCCCCTAAACCCTAAACGTGGTGGAGACAAGTGACTCCTGAAAGTTGTCCTCTGACATCAGGATGTGCACTGTATCATGCATGTGCACTCACATATAAATGGAGAGAGATACAGAAACAAAGAAACAGATGCACAGGAACAGAAACAAACAGAAAGAAATTATTGAAGTACACTGTCAGAATGCAGTAGATGAGTTCCTAGAGAGGCTGTCATGGCTAAGAAGGGTTGAAGTGTTTTGTAGTAGTTGAATAGGAAGTTACTTACTTCTTATTTTGTGGGCCACTTGGGCAGGGTCAATATTTGAATAGATGGCTTGGCATCTTACTTTCTTCTTGAGCAGTAAAGTTTATAGCCTAAGTTGTTTTTCTCAAGACTGGCCATTTGTACAAGGGCCATAGCTCATTAGAAGTCAGGCTGTAGAGGAGTGCGTAATATATCCTAAGTCACAACGGTCTGAGCTCCATATAGTCAGGCCTACTTGTGAAAATATGGGAGTTTTGTTCATAATTCTTTGTCTTTTATCTTTACACAAATTACACGAGCATGTAAAGGAACACAGTAAAAAGCACCCAGTAAGGTTCGAGTTAAGGGGGAAAAGAAAGTAGCAATATAGCAAGAGATGAGCCTTAAGAAACAGAAAGTTGTTCAGAACACTCCAGGAGTGTTGATGCTGATTGATGGGGACCAGCATGAGTAGAGAGGAGGCATCAAATGCTTGTGAAGGGGCGTGGCTTAGAAAGCAGTCAAGACAGCTAAATAGGAAACAGGCTTTAGACATTTCACTCCCTAACCTGAGATTGAAAATGTTACATCGAGGTCCAATGTGTGACCTAAGGTGGAGGCATCTGGAGTGGAATGGAGGAGGTTGATTTTTGAAGATGAACAGGTCAAGTACATGACAACTGGGTATTTGGTGGGTCATGGTCTTGGTTGTTGACATCAGCCAGGGATACAGAGACCCCAAGATCATGATGAAAACCATAACTCTATACCAGAGGCTTTGATGTATGTGAGAGAGTGACCAAGAGGTCAGGGATAATTGAGAACTTACCGTGGTTGCCATGGTTCTATAAGAGCTTGTCTAATTTCATCTGTGGGGAATTATGTCTTCTAAAGGTGAGCATTAATGCAGATGGCCATTGCCATTGAATGTGATGACAGTATTTATTAGATAACCATAACCCTATAATTTATTCTTTTGAGTAATTATTAAATATACCTTAAAGTTAGAGAAGAATTTCTTGAGAAGAGAATAAGCAGAGAAAAAATAAGACAAGTCTGAAAAGGGCACCTGAGGCCACTAGAAGGGTAATGCAGACAGAGGTGCTCGTGACACTGTTAAGCTGTGGCACCAACGAAGACTGCATTGCTGTTTCCAGAGGTGGCACGTGAGACAGACTGTCTGAGCCCAGGGTATTGAGTATGTTGAAGAAGCCATGAAAGACGGAAGCGATACAAGTAAGAGTCAAGTATAGCTGTTCATTTGAGGAGCAGTCAGACCTCACCTGAGATCAGTGTGAAAGGGGAGCAAGGAAATGGAGTTCATCCTCCAGATGGACACACTCTGCAGGCTACAGTCCCAGCGGAAAAAGTGGAAACACACAGCAGTGGCTCCAAGAAGGCACTGCCATAGCCAGCAAGCCATGGCGAAGACAGGCTGTGGTCTTGTGCTGGAGCCTGCCAAGGGAAGTGTGGCTACAGATGCGAGGTAGTCAACTCAGGGAAAGGAGGACAGAACAAGGATCTGCAGTTAACTCCATAGTGACAAATGCACACCCTACTTCCTTTTTGCAGCCCATATACTCACCCTGATTTTTTTTTAATCTCCCTTTTACTTTCCCTGTCTACTTCATTAGTTCCTTGACATTGGTGGTTTACTTCTTGGGACAGTGTTTCCCCAATGGTTTCTCTGCATGCCTATCCCCAAAACCTCTGTCATTTCTTGCCTGTTACCCGTTATCTGTGTTTTTCCTCCCTATTCTACTCATCTTGCTCTTTTGTGGTTGCATATTTACTCATTTATTTTCTTTCCTACTTCAGGCTTTTATTGGACAAGATCTTGTTTAAAAGTATCTAGATAGCAACTCGTTTTTCTTTCAAGGATAGTTTCTTTAATAGAATAACTATTTTTTTAATTAACAGCTTCTTTTATTTTAATTTTAAAGGTCTTATATTACAAGGCATTCATTTAAAAAAGGGAGCCCTAGTGTTACAGAGTAATTTACAAGTGCATAAAAACATTGTGGCATTTTTCATATCACAGAGGTTCCCACTTTTTTGTAAATTAAAGTACATGGATCTTGGCCCTCTCATTTGTCTCCACGTTCCTTATGTAATCTCTAGCAAAGCCCATAGAAAACCTAATCAAAAAAAGCAATATGTGTGGTATTGTATTCCCCCAAATATTGTGCATGCTAATAAACTTATCTGGGGTCAGAGACAGAGCAGGCACAATATTAAACATAAAGGATAGGCAGTGGTAGCACACGCCTTTAATTCTAGTATTCCAGAGGCAGAAATCCATGTGTTCAAGGATATAGACAGGCATGGTGACTCATCACATCTTTAATCCCAGAAAGCAAGCCTTTAATACCAGGGAGTGGTTGTAGAAAGCAGAAAGGTATATAAGGCGTGAGGACCAGAAACTAGAAGCATTTGGCTGGTTAAGCATTTGGCCTGGTTAAGCATTCAGGCTTTTGAGCAGCAAGTCAGCTGAGACCCATTCTGGATGAGGACTCAGAGGCCTCCAGTCTGAGGAAACAAGACCAGCTGAGAATCCGGCGAGGTGGTGTAGTTGTGGCTTGTTCTGTATCTCTGATCTTCCAGCTTCACCCCAATACCTGGCTCACAGGTTTGATTTTATTAATAAGAACTTTTTAAGATTCATGCTACAAATATGTGTTTTTGAATGTTTGCAAATGAGGGCCCTACAATGGTTGCTCAACTTTTCCGCCCGTTCTCTGAAGGCTACCGAGATCAAGTCATTAGCCTAAACACTGCCATGTGTATTTGCCACCAGAGGATCTCTCCACATAGCAATGTCTCTCTTTCTTTGCCAGACCAGACAATGCCATAAGAGACTCTGAATAGAAGGCATCTTACAGACAGTGTAGCAGTTGGCACTCAAACTGGCTAAAGTAGAATGTAGGAAGAAGGCTAGGTGTAAGAACTTGGGAATGACAAGTATTTTGTTGACATGTCTAAAAAGAAAAAAGGAACCTGAGAAGAAGTGGTCCAACAGAAGAGGCCACAGAAGAAGGTGTATTAAAAAGTTCAGGAGGAGAATCAGCCGATGGTACTAGGACACAGACAGGACAGTAGCTTTGGGATGAGCATTGGTGGGTACAGAGTGTCTTTAGGGATCATTAAAGTATGCTGGGGACTGTGATGATTATGCAGCTTTATAAACACATTAACAACCACTCAACTATGTACTTGTAGATAATTTTTAAACACTGAAGAAATAGAGAAAATGAGAGATACTGGACAATGGAAATGCAGAAAGTTATATCTAGTAGGAAAGAGATTGATACTTGGTGATGAAGAAACCAGTATAGAGTTTAAAATGTGTTTCAATAAAATAGTCCCTCCTATCTCCTCCTCATCAGCATCAGAGAAATCTGTGTCTGTAGGTTAGTCCTTCTTCTACTTTTGTTGGCAAATTGTGTAATGATTCTGATGGTCTAGGGATGTGTTCAGGTCACATTAACTAAAAAGCCATGCTGGTATGCTTTTGACATTCTGAACATGTGTGTTCATGCTGAGATGACACATAACTCTGCCACTTCTGCTGCTGTGGCAAAGTCAAACCACACCAGAAGGTCAGTTTAATTGATGTGATTTTCATCCAAGACATCTCTAGTGTCCCCAAGTAGAGCTGCAATCACCACCATTGACTGCTGATAAGTGATTCTTTCCTATAGCTATTTGGCATGTTATCTTCCTTGCCTTGTGGCAGTTCCTGATAGAACATTGCCCTAATGGTTCCACACCAACCATGTGTTTTCTCTGAGCCACATTTACTGGGTTTTAAGCTAAAGAGACATTGCCAACACAAAAGAAACTCAATGATGATTTTGGAGGTTTTCTTTCTTCTTTTTTATTTTCTCTCATCTCATAGTGCTTTGTCTAGACATTGTTTTATTTCTCCTTTTTCCCCCTTTATACAAGGTCTTTCATTTATATATTGTGGTTTCCAATTTTTGTACTTTTGTAGGATTTCTGTGGTTACCAATGTGTGTCTCTGTGTCTATATGTGTTTCTTGTGCTTTTTTCTTTGGGTCTTTATTTTTATGTTCATTTTTTTCCTATTTTTTTTTGTTTTTATATTATCTTGTTATATTGCTATTTTTAGGTGCCCATTTGTTTTTTAATGGGAGATAGTGAGCAAGAAAGGATGTGGACTTGGGTGAGTGGAGTGGATCTTGGAGGAGTTCAGGGGAATGTAATCAGAATACATTGTATGAAAAAAATCTATTTTCAATTTAAAAAAAGCTGAGGCAAATAGTAAACTTTGATCTGAGCACTACTGAGAAGAATAAAGTACATTATAAGCTAGCTATTAAGTATATGTGAATACTTCAATTGATGTCTTTATTAAATCATTTATTTATTTATTTATTTATTTATTTATTTATTTATTTATTTATGTAACTGGTACAGAGCTAGTCTTATTCATACCATGTCACTGACTGAAAGTTTCACATCCATGTAAAATTTATTACCACCAGCCTTTTTGATTTACTTGTTAAATGGAATACTATGTAATGAGATTAATACATTCTTCAACCTTGGTTGACTTCTGCATCCCTTCCTTGTTCTAATCATTTGCTTTCTTATGCTCTTCATTTAGGTTTTCCAAATGAGCCTGCTGCAGTCATTGCCCTAGATACGATTAAGGAATGGCTGGCCAAGAATCACCAGGAGGTAAGATGACCTTCGCAATGAACATTCCAGACAATGTAATTTGATCCTTTGCTAAAGCACCAGCAGATAAACTGCATCAATATCACTCAGACATGGTCCTTATGCCGTGCCGTCCGACTTTTCTTCACTTGGGGTTATATACGATTAAATATTTTCCTGTAATCATTTGGCTGAGGTAGATATAACGACTGATTCAATGGAGATGATGAGCTGGGAGAGCAGATTCGTTGCCCCTCCCTCTCTCTCTTCTTTATGTTTTTCGGGCAGTATGGGTTGTTTGTGAGCAGGATTTTGGAATGGATTTGCTGATGATTCTTCATTCTTCCTGTGCTGCTTTCCTTAGACAACCTGCTTTGTCTTTGTTGTCAGGGGACTGTGCTATAAAGCAATGTCTGTTAATAGGCTCCATCTTTATTTATAACTTGGATCTTTCCTGATTTGACTTCTAGGTATGGGACTGCCATAAGATTATATAATTGTTAAAAGAGAGTGTTATGGCCAGGATTTTTTTTAACATGAAATGAAATGCTTTCAGCTCCATTTCTACTCATTTATTAATGTCTATGGAATATGCTGAGACATGTTGAGTGATAAGCAAGAGAATTACATTCTTCCTAAAACAGGAAGCTATACACTCCAGGTGTTTGTCGATTCACCCATCAAAACAGCAAGGAGTTTTCAGGCAATGCCTTACGTGCTTTCCTCTGGTTCTTATTTCCTTCTTTTGATAGTAATTAAATTATTATAGTGAGTTTTGCTTCCATTGTAAATTCAGCTTTCCCTTTGGGAAGGAGACAGAATATTTAGAAATGGCTGAGTATGAAAAGTGGACTCTGAAAGTTTCCTATTGAGAATCAGCTTTGTTCTTCTGAGTATATAAAGAAACAGCAGTGTCATTTTCGAGTTACTACAATTTCAACATTCCTTAACCAGATATAAATATTCTTAACCTCTAGTAGGAGTAAAAAGCCACATGGCCAAATATGTACATTTTGTTGTCTGCTTTTCCCTCCCCACAAATTTGAAATGTGTGTGTGCTGTAACTTCAACTTAGACAATACTTGCCTCAAAAAGGAAAAGAAAGACAAGAGACTACTATACCCAGACTGTAAAAATGTCTTAAATCCACAGCAGGCTTTGTGGGGCATTTGGAGTATGTAATTCCACCATCACCCTCTTCTAGCAACAAAAAGCTAGTTAAGATGCTCAAGTGTGGAAAGTCACATGGATTGGTTTCAGGTCTCACAGCCATTCCTCACTTCAATGTCACTGAAGCCTGAGTAAGAAGGTGAGTTCCTTTGAAGGCACTTACTGCCCACATATGTCTTTGTCATAGAAAATGTTCCTTACAATGATATCTTTTTTTTTTTTCAAAAAAAAAATATAGTTTGCCTTGTGATTGGAAGCTGATAACACTGAACATATACTTGTGACTTACCATCCTTTTTGTTGAACAATAAATCTAGAATATGTAGACTGAAGAAAGTTCATGTTTATCACCTTGGCCCATGATACAAGTGCCCATAAACACCTCCCACTGAGGAGCTTATGATGAAGAGTAAAACATACTACTCATTTGTACAGCTTATTGACAAATTGTAGTGGCACATTAATCCCAGTTAAGCTATTTAAAGTGTTACTTCCTGAAAAATATTTCTTAGTGTCTCCTACTGAATTCTCTTGCCTGGTCTCTCTTTGAGCCTAGTGTAGTCAGACTTTCTTGACCCACCAGCCCCCAAATAATGACATGGAAACTTCTTATTAATTATGAAAGCTTGGCCTTAGCTTAGGCTTTTTCCAAACCTGCTCTTATAACTTAAATTGACCTGTTTTTATTAATCTATGTTCTGCCATGTGGCTTTTACCTCTCTCCCATTCTGTACATCTAACTTGTTCCATGTCTCACTCGCGTCTTTCTGCCTCTCCTCTTCTCAGATTTCCTCTCTCCCCCCAAGAAGTCCCATCTATTCTCTCCTGCCTAGCTATTGGCCATTTGTCTTTTTATTAAACCTGTCAGAAGGTGCCTTTGTTAGAGATACATCTCTACAGTGTATAAAAAGATTATCCCACAAAAGCCTGTTTCTTGCTTTCATATCCTTTCTATGTATATATCTTAGGCATTGTAGAAAATTTAGGACATTTTGATTGGGTAACACATTAGTCATGGCAACATTAAATATATCTTGTGTTGATTACCTTTTAAGAACTCCTTGTTTTAATATGTACTAACAAATGTCAGCTAGTAAATTTGGATGCATCAGGTTTTACTGAATAAATAAATTATAAGTGGACTTCTGTATATGTGTGACAGATATGTAGCTCATCTTCTTGTGGGATTCCTAACAGTGGCAGCAAGGACTGTTTCTGACTTTTTTGCCTGCTTTTGGAATCATATTCCTCATACTGAGTTGCCTTGCCCAGTCTTAATACAAGGTGAGGTGCTTAGTCTTACTGCAAGTTGATATGCCAAGTTTTGTCGATATCCATGGGAGGCCTGCCCTTTTCTGAAAAGAAAGGAGGAGTAGATGGGGGTGAGACATTAGAGGGGACTGGAAGGAGAGGAAGGAGGGGAAACTGCAGTAGTTATATAAAATAAATAAATATTAAAAAAAACGTTAAGTGGTGATAAATAAAAGCTATGCAAACTGATTGTTTAATAGTATTTTGATTTAAGATTTGTTTTGCTTAACCAAACAAACTAGATTAAAGATCTGTGAGCAAATATTGCTTCCAATTCACTTGTCTTTTTGTTGCAGTGTTGTTTTGACATCGTGATTGTTTCAGTGAGTTATTCATAAATTCATTCATTTGTTAAATATTTACTGAACTCCACTAAGCAATAGGCACATTTTAACCAGGAACAAAGTACTAACACACAAACAAATAATCCCTGTCTTTTGAATTCATAGTCTGTGAAAAGAGAACAGATTAAGTAAATAAAGAAATAAGACAGTCTAAAGAATTCTTTGCAAAATCAAGCATCATAACTACAAAATGGATTACGAGGAGATGTGGTTTTAGAAGCCACTGAGGCTATTCTAAGGCTATAAACTTGGAAGGAAGATTTTTATAATGAGAGGGGGTAATCTAAGCTCCACAGAGCTCTTGAAGTAAAATATTCCATGACGGGGGGAACAAGAAGGAAAAACAGAGGAAGGCGGGAGAGGACTGCTCTGGAGCAGGGGGGAGGGGGTGTAATGACTGCTGAAGGAGAATGGCAGGAACGCTGGCAGAAGGTGACTAATAGGCGCTGTGTTTAACAGAAAGACTTGACATACTCCTAGTTCAGTGTAGTGTTCCTCAAGAGTTTGGGATGAAAGAGTAACATGAACTACGTGATCTTTAAACAGTAAATATTGCTGCTCTTTGGAAACTATCCTTTAGAAATATCAGAGAAGGATGAGGGAGGTCAACTGAGAGACCCTTGCAGAAACTCCAGGTAAAACATGGGGAGTTTAGGATGGCAATGATAGTATAAAAGGAAGTAGCAAGGATGGAGTTTAAGATACACTTTAAAGTTGAAGTTTTTGAAGATTGTTTTCAGTGAGTTGGCTGACTTATTCCACAGTGACAAATCATCTCCAAGTGTCTGTTATAAAACAAGAATAGTTTATTTGTTGTTCACATTATTTGTACATCTTGAGTCATCAGAGGACATTGGATTCATCAGAAATCCAGGCTGACAAAATAGTCACCTCATCATAGGAAATGCATAAACAAAGGAATTCTGCACTTAACTTTTCCTCATATTTTCCCCCAGTTCCAGGGAATAAGAAAATAAAGTTTTTTTTTTTTTTTTTTTTTTTTGGTTTTTCAAAACAGGGTTTCTCTGTGTAGCTTTGCACCTTTCCTGGAACTCACTTGGTAGCCCAGGCTGGCCTCGAACTCACAGAGATCCGCCTGCCTCTGCCTCCCGAGTGCTGGGATTAAAGGCATGCGCCACCACCACCTGGCCCTAAAGTTCTTACATAATAGGAAAACTTGAATATCAGCAAAAAAATGGTGATGTCTATTATAAAGGGGGATCCAATATGGTGGCCAATGTAGAATTGGACAAATGCATAGGAGTCAGGAATGGGAACTAAATATTTGGCCTATGCTCCCAAGTAAACTTTCTATGTTCTCACTGAGATGAAGCGAAATGTCACAAGGCCTATTTACATGAAAGTATAAAGAAAGTGAGAATGATATTACAGATAGTCAAATACAAGCTTATTTTAGATATCCAACCAGTTTTTCAATATAAAATCTGTTTATTCATGCCTACAGCTCAATATAAAACCAAGGGAGACGAGGTGAAAAGGCCGTGCAGTCAGTTTGAGATGGCTTGAAAGAAACGCTCCAGCTTAGGTAGAGGAGAATTACCTTAGAAATGAACTATAGTGTATGAGAAGGAAGTCTTAGCAATTCAACGCCAGGCCCAGGGCAGGTTTGGAAGGTGACCAGAATCTCAAGCCACACACACAGTGAGAAGCATGGCAGTGCGTTTTGTCCTCCTCATTCCAATATTTCCCTAGTTACTGTTACTTCATGATCATATTACCATTATTATTGTTGTTCACCTAAGTTGCCACATGGCCCCAGCCTGATCCTGTCTGTCCACTCACAGGTTGGTCAGTTCTGGATGAGGCAAGGCCAGCCTTGAGCTTGTTGGGAAAGATACATGCACTGGGACTCTTGTCTGATCAAATCCCTGAAATTTTCCTTAAAAGGGGATATATGGATAACATGATGTGGTTCTTCCCTCCGTGGCCGCTCTTCCCTTTTCCACAAGAGCATATAATTCAGTGGCGACTTCTCTTCGACTCAGCTGTCACACAATAAATGACTGATGTTGGCACATGGTTAGTGAACTTTCACAGTTGGCCATTTACTAACCCTCTTATTTCTGAACCTTTAGGGTGGATACTTTTCTGAACACAGTAGTCAGTTGGATTCTATGTAATTTCACAAACCACTGGCAGCTGCCCTGGAATAGCACTCCCATACCCAGAGGGTCC